TTCTTTCTTTCTTTCTTTCTTTCTTTCTTTCTTTCTTTCTTTCTCCGAAATTATCACTTTTCTTTCTTTTTTTCTTTCTTACTTCTATCTTATCACTTTTCTTTCTTTCTTTCTTTCTTTCTTTCTTTCTTTCTTTCTTTCTTTCAATAATATATCGATTCTTTTTTTTTTCTTATCTATTTTTGAGGCCATTCTTTCTTTTGCATTTGTCCTTCAGGATTTTCTTACTTTCCTCTATTTCATTCATTCATTCATTCATTCTTTTCTTTCTTTCTTTCACCTAAATTATCACTTGTTTCTTTTTCTTTCTGTCTTTTCCTTCTTTCTTTCTTTCTATCTTTCTTTCTCCTAAATTATTACTTTTCTTTCTTTTTTTTTCTTTCTTCATGCAGTGTTTTTGTAAAAATAAAGAAAAACAAATGAACCATGATACAGAAAAATACACGAAAGAAAAAAAAAAGGTTAAAACGTGTAAAAATTAAGAAAATATGTGTAAAAAAAAAAAGAAGAAATTACGAATAGAAGGAATCGAAAAGAAAAAATAGTCGAAGGAAAAATAATTGAAAATAAATAAAAACGAATGAAATATGCAAAAACATTTAAATTCATTTGCGTGTTTTTCTTTCTAACGTTCTCTTTTTGAAACAAAATTCTTTTCACAGTTTTTTTATCTCCGTATAATTGCTGAAACTCGTCCATTTAATGTTTGTTCTTTCTTTCTTTCTCCATGAAGTGTTTTTTTTTTTTTTTTTTTTTTTTGCTTTTTGCTTTTACCGTTTCCTTTTCCTCCTAATTACCGTAATAATTTGACAATATTTCAATCTCCCTTCTGCCGATGTCATTTCCCGTCGTTGTACACGGGTGGGTCTCACTTCATTAATTCGGCAACAGCCTTACGAAAAATAATTTGGCGACCAACAACAATGGCGATATTGTCGTCCATCTTATTACATAGACAAAAAAGACCGGAAAAGGAAATAGAAAAATAATCAGCACTGAAAAGAGGGAAACAAAACCTGAAGTGTTAAGAAAAAATAAATGAACGATTGATGACGTGAAAGAAAATGGAATAAAAATCGGGGGGGCGGAAAAGTAAATAATTAGAGGATTTTGAAAAAGGCGAAACTAAAAAGCGAATTAAGAGAAAGAATCTAAGAGAAGAACGTTTAAAATATGATAGAACGAAAGAAAGTAAGAAGCAAAAATCAAAGAAAGAAAGATGCAGTGAGCAAAGAAAAAAGAAACCAAGAGAAAGAAAGAATTAAAGATCAAACAAAGAAGAATTAATGAAAGAAAATGGGGAGCAAAATAAAAATTCAAAAAGTAAGTAAGCAAGAAAGAAAGAAAGAAAGAAAGAAAGAAAGAAAGAAAGGTGATAATTTCGGAGAAAGAAAGAAAGAAAGAAAGAAAGAAAGAAAGAGAAAAAGAGAAAGAAAAAGAAAGAAGCAGAAAGCAAAAAGAAGTAGAAAGAAAGAAAGAAAAAGAGAAAGAAAAAAATGAAAAAATGCACCAGAAAGCAAAAGAAGTAAAAAGAAAGAAAGAAAGAAAGAAAGAAAAGAAAGAAAGAAAGAAAGAAGCAGAATGCCAAAAGGAGCAAAAAAGAAAATAAGAAAGAAAGAAAGAAAGAAGCAAAAACCAAAAAGAAGTAGAAAGAAAAAGTGAAAGAAAAAGTGAAACAAAGCAGCAGAAAACAAAAAGAAGCAGAAAAGAAAGAAAGAAAAAAAAGGAAAGTGAAAGAAGGAAGCAGAAAGCAAAAAGAAAGCAAGAAGAAAGGAAGAAAGAAAGAAAAAGTAGAAAGAAAGAAAGTAGAAAAAACAAAGAAAAAAAGAAGCAGAAAGAAAGAAAACCAGAATGTAAAGGAAGATGTTCGCCAAAATCCAGTAATTAGTCTTAGATGGTCTGATCAGAATTGTCCAGTGAGATAAGTACATTGAATATTTGTTGATGTATTAAATTTTATTGATCAAGTTATTGAGCAATATTTAGTAAAATCCTTTTGGCCTTAATATGTCAAATTCGGTTAAAATATCGCCGTTACAATAAGTTTGTTGTTTACGTCTGAAGATTATCTTAGAAAAGATCGAAGGTACTTGGGTTAAAAGAAACTATGGCGCCTTCCTTGATGTATTTCATGTCAACATCAGGTAACTGATTAGACAATTGAAAAGTATCAGTATAAAGATAAAAAGAGACAATGTGCCTTTATTATATAAAACATATCTTTTACTTTTCCATTTTTATGTGAAAATATTTCAAATATTAAAATATTTAAAAAGTATTTGAACTATATCATTGATAATGAAAAACATAATTGTACGACAACATAATAATAAATTCAAAGAAAATATAATTGCTTTTATTTTTTTTTAAAAACATTAAATGGAGTGTCTGAGGACCTAAAATGATACCATAATAATATAAATGGTAAACTTAGAGAGGAAGCTTCGAAATGTGAAGAGCAATTTTTGTAAAATGTGGGGTAGAATTTTTCAGAATCTTCATGCAAATTATATTGAATAAAATGCCACGTTATATACTCGTCTTCTTCTTCTTCTTCTTCTTCTTCTTCTTCTTCTTCTTCTTCTTCTTCTTCTTTTTCTTCTTCTTTCTTCTTTTTTCTTTTCCTTCTTTTTCTTCGTTTTTCTGTTTTTTCTTTTTTCTTCCTCTTTTATCTTTTTCCTCTTTTTTCCTTTTCTTCTTTTTCTTCTTTTTTCTGTTTCTTTTTCTTTTTTGTCTTTTTCTTCTTTTTTAACTCTTTTTTCTTTTTCGTCCTTTATCTTTTCTTTCTTTTTCTTTTCTTTCTTTTTCTTCCTTTCTCTTCTTTTTTCGTTTGATTTTCTTTTTTGTCTTTTTCTTTTTTTCCTCTTTTTTCTTTTTCGTCTTTTGTCTTTTCCTTCTTTTTATTTTCTTTCTTTTTCTTCCTTTCTCTTCTTTTTTTCGTTTTGTTTCTTTTTTGTCTTTTTCTTCTTTTTCCTTTTTCATTTTTTCTTTTCCTTCTTTCTCTTTTCCTTCTTTTTCTTCCTTGTTCTTCTTTTTCTGTTTTTTCTTTTTTGTCTTTTTCTTCTTCTTTTTTTCTTTTCTTCTTTTTCTTCGTTTTTCTTTTCCTTCTTTTTTCTTTTTCTTCTTTTTTTCTTCCATTTTCTTTTCCTTCTTTCTTTTTCTTCTTTTTCTTCCTTTTTCTTCTTTTTTCTCTTTCTTATTTCTTCTAATCTTCTTTTTTCTTTTTAGTCTTTTTTCTTTTTTCTCCTGTTTCTTTTTCTTCTCATTCTTCTTCCTCTTTTTTCTTCTTCTTTTTTCTGTTTTTTTTTCTTCTTATCATTAATTATTATTGCAATAATATTAGGTAAAATTTAAAAAAGAAAGAAAGAAAATGCTGCCAGTGATTCGATGTCAATACCTCTAAAACTGAATTCATGGGCTTCAACCAGATAGGCTCAATACAAACTGTGTCAGGTAGATCGAAAAAATCTCTTGAATCTTTTCCCTGTCTAGGAATCGAAATAAATTCTACAGAAAAAGATGTGAAAATTCGCATAGGTAAAGTCTGGAGTCTCTGGAATAAAATGGTTGTAATCTAGAAATCTGATCTACCAGAGAACCTCAAACGGAGATACTTTTGAGCCACTGTAGAGCCGGTGCTAACGTATGGCGTCACTGGTTGGAAATTAACTAAAACCCTAGAGTCTACGCTTGATGGAATTTATACGCGGATGCTGAGAGCTATATTTTATCTCTTTGAGACAACATCCAGCTAAATCATACTTTTAATGACCCATCTTGATAGTTTTACAATGTTACTCGAACACAGATTTGCAGGACATTTCTGGCGAGCTAAACAAGAACTCTACTGCCCTGGACAACTATCCATGGAGTAAGATAATTTGATCGCCCAGCAATCAGCTACATTGACCAGCTATGTTACGACACGGAGTGACAGCCTAATGACCTTCCGCCCTTGATGCAGGACCGTGCTGGTTGGCGTGCTAGACCCATAAATGTCCGAGCTATAGCCCTACCGAAAAAAAAATTATTTACACTTTTTACATTGTTCGGACTGTTGTCCTCATCTTTGTTGCCATATTCACGAATTTTCGGCCGTTGAACGCCTGGCCTTCTTCAGGATCTGTCAATATTTCTGAGATGATGTATTATAATTATTTAAACTATTTACGTTGTTCGGACTGTTGTCCTCATCTTCGTTTCAATATTCACGACACTTCGGCCATTGTACGAACTGAACCCTTTATTTCGTCCACCGGGCTAAATTGTTCTAGTTCCACGTGCCATGTCTCTTCTGTGTGTCTCAGTACCAGTGCCTTCCCTTTTTACTCAACTTCCCAAATTTTTGTTCACCTCTGCTAGGTATTGAACTTACAACTCTATGTGTCAAGTCACTGGATTCAATTAACGCTTTTACCTACTGGGCCACGTGTCCTAAGCCGAGGCATACAACGTCCGTGAATGTGACAATAAAGATGAGGACAACAGTCCGAACAATGTAAAGAGTATAAATAATTACAATACTTCATTTCAGAAATATAGACAGATCCTGAAGAAGGTGGAGCGTACAACGGCCAAAACGTCATGAACATGGCAATAAAGATGAGGACAACAGTCCGAACAATGTATATAGTGTAAATAATTACAACACTTCATCCATATTATAATAAAAGAAGAGAACATAAGTAAAATATTTTTTCCCAATTCAGTCATTATTTTTCCGAAGAACGTAATAATATTTTCCAGTGTATACACAAGGTGCGCCGGGTATTTGAGAACAATATACTGAACGAAACTGATATAACACAAAGATGAAGCTTTAATCATTAGAAATTAGTAATATAGTTTTCATAGAGCCAAGTTGAGATAGATAGAGTTGATAGATAGATAGATAGATAGATAGATAGATAGATAGATAGATATTGAAGCAGGTGAGATAGATATAAAAAATATAGATCGATTGATAGAAAAATAGATAGAAAATGAACCTGCCGAGATAGATAGATAGATAGATATTAAGCAAAGATACATAGATAGATAGATAGATAGATAGATAGATAGATAGATAGATAGATAGTCCGAATAATGTAAATAGTGTACATAATACCTCATCTCAGAAATATAGACAGATACTGAAGGGCCGAAAAGTTGTAATAAATATGGCGCTATAGAAGACAATAGCCCGAATAATGTAAATTGTGTACATAATACTTCATCTCAGAAATAGAGAAAGATACTGAAGGGACGAAAGGTTGTAATAAATATGGCGCTAAAGTTGAAGACA